CCTCGTTCGCCGGTTGACCCCGCGGCAGAGCAGCGTCACCGGCCGTGAGGGAGCCGGCGAGTTTCCCCTCTCGGCCCTGCTCGGAGACGCTCAAATTGCCGTTTCCAGAAGGCGCTGAGACACGTAGGAGAAAGGCCAGCGGCGGCGAAGCCCCGCTGCGGGTCAGAGGGTTCGGGCCGCGCCGGGGGGACCCGCGTCGTGTTTTCAGAGATGAGCCCGAAACGCGCGTTCGGCCCTCTCGGCCTGTAATTACAGCTGCTGCTGCTGCCAAAATCGCTTCTCCGGACGCCTCGACGGGAACGTGACCCTTACGCTGTTGTTCCGTGCTTTCCTAAGAACGCGTTTTTCCAAGTCCTGCTCGAAAAGCCTTGTTTTTTCCCTGCCACTGTTGGCAGCACGCGTGGAGCTCCTTGAACGGCAGGGCCACGGAAGATGCTGCCGTAGTCCTCGTAAGTTGTCGTCCAAGCAAAGATTTCTTGGAGAAACTCTGTGAGTAGGTAGAATCATGCCTTAGCATGAATTACACTAATTTAAACAGAAAGCTCTTCAGAGCGCAGAAGGTCCGCAGGACCCGTGCGTCCGTCCCAGTTATAGTCGGCAGCAGCAAGACGGTTTCAGGCTCGTGGCTTCCCTCACGCCCGCTGGAACGGCCGGAAATCGGGCACATAAATACCTACGCGCTCATCTCTCCCTCATCCTAAGTCACGACAAGAGGGGTAGCTCAGTTCAGGTTTCTAATTCCCTTATTTCCATATTGGGACCCCTTCAGGATTAAAACATTTAAACGCTCAGGAGAAAAAGGATTAATAAATGCTACAGTAGCAACTCAACTCAGAGTTAACCTGTGTTAAAATTTCTGTGCGTTTTGCATACTGGCCTATTTTCTGTATCCTCACCTCGAGCTGCTTGAAATAAAGCCCTGTGCTTTTAAGAATTTTATTAAACTGCATAACTAAGACAGCGCAAATAAATGAGCAAAAGATACATACCAGTGCTTAAATTAAGCAATGGCTGTACTGCATCATACACACATTTGAGTAGATTTTCTGTCTGCGGGGTGGGTTTCGGGAGCCAGGATATAGCACTTTTATAGGGTTTCCAAGTTATTCAGTATATTGCACTTTACAGCAGTGCATGAGTTTACTAACTTTCACGACATCCACCAAGAGCTAGTAAGGTAAACTGTCACAATGGAAATCCTGTCTAGTAATAAGGTCACCCGTTTCAGCTGGGAACATAGGAACAAGCCTATTTAATTCAATAATCCAAATCAGCGTTGGCCCGATGTGTGAAAATTTGCAGAGCTCTGCATGTTAGCAAAGGCAGATTTAAAAGTACAGCTGTGTCTGGGGTCAGCAGAGCTTTCCCTTGGACTGGACAATAACTATTATATTTTTCAGGCTGAGAAGGAGCGCTGAAAAAGGTTCCTTGAACTAGAAAAGGCTACCAGATGCGTAAGTGAATCTAGCCAGAAATATCTAACTACATATCAATGCAAGGCGCATTCTTACAGCTGCTGAACTGCAGACGCAATGCACGTTCTGGAGCCTATACACCACGTTTTAATGTGGTTCCCTACATCCAGTAGAAATATATTTGCTCTGTATGATTTTCTCTGGAAAATACAATAGGAAATAAGATCCCCCCACCACCACCCCCAAGAAATTTATTGCTAGAAACATATATCCAGAGCAGGGGTTTGAGCAGGTCCCCGTTTAGTCACGGAAACGCAGGTGACCATGGTCAGCGCATACGTGCGTGCGTACGGGACGAGGGGCGTCTGCAGGCATTCCTCGGCGGCGGGGCAGTGGGAGGCTAGCAGGGACGGCGGCAGCTTGGTCTTGCTCCAGTGGGTTGTCCAGCAAGTGATTCCCGTTTCCCCTAAGGCTGCCTCTCATTAGCATGAATCGGGGGAAGGGCATAAAAGGCTCCAGTTCATTTTGAGGCTGAAAAAAAACTTTACTTCAGCATGACAACTAAAGTGTTTTGGCTCCTCTGCTTTATCATTAGATCATCTTCCAGCTCAGTGGCCGGTAAGTTTATTAACGTTAAAAGCGGGGCTGGGGCATATTTGCTTTTGGTAGCAGGGGAGACTGAACACATTACTTCAGATTCTTGCCCTAGAAGCCCTACTTAACTGTAGTCTTTGCAGCAAGCAGTCACATAAGGGCTCAAGAACGAAACATTTCAGCATGTTCATGGGATGGGAATGGAAATTGCAGGATTTGATTTGTCAGTGTTTCATAGCAGTAGGAGCACCTGCCAGAAGCAGGCAGTTAGCTGGTGCCACGGAGCCTGCTAGCCACCATCCAGCAAGTGAAGTTTGACTTGCGCGTGCATGGGGGATTGTTGTATGTGACCTTTTAGTCTCCTTCCTGTCACCTGTAGACTCCAGATTTCTAACTGATTTCAGCATGCTCTGGGCTGTCATGTGTATCTGCAGCAGTCTGTACAGTCTCACTGACTGCACAGAAACAAAAGATACATCCAGTCCATAGGGAAGAAGAGGTCCGGGGGCTGATTATGTGGCAGTTGTATTTTCTTAGACTGCAAGAGCTAGACAGGAATATGCTGGGATAGGGGAATGAACTTCAAGGTCCTGAACAGATTGAGTAGAGAAAATGAACTTTTTATCACTACAATCCCTGACTGAGAAAACATAGAAACAAAAACTTATAAATGTACTTTTCTAAGTCCAAAACACCTGTTCAGAGTTCACAGCTTCATATTGAAACATCTCCAAAACACCCCTGCCTCTTGCTTTCTCTAGCTTGGACTTCCTCCATCCCTTTCTTCATGGACATTCTTTTGACTTTACATGTGTCCAGCCCGAGTATCAGGGAATCTTTCCCATGACAGCAGCTGGTGAGAGCGAAGGGGGAGAAATGGCAAGGTCAGCAGCTGAGAGTCAGTTATGGGAGATAAACCAGGACGTTGTTCATCTGGGTATGTCAAATATCTCTTTTCACATAAGGAGTCAGGACCAGCCTCCTACACTATGCTGACCACAAACAGTGAACACCCAGACAGCGGCTGTGTGTGGGTGAACTGTTTTAAAATAGTCTGTGCTGGCCAGCTGAAGTCATTACAATAGAGAACCGAAATAAAGGGGAAATGAACTGCAAGAGGAAATTTCTCTCTTCCCAGGCTAAGTGGAAAGTAATTTTGCTTTGCGAGCTTCAAATGATCAGTGAAGGTCCAGCTTGCATGAACAGTGTCATTAAGCCTATCCGTTTTTCACTAGAGTTCCAGTCTCTTCCTGTCTTTATCATATCCTTGTCCTCTCTACTTATTAAGAAAAGCCTTCAATAATTGTTACTCAGCAGTGATAGCCTAGCTACCAGATTACGTCTTCTTGGACTTCCATACAACTCTAGTGCAAAAGTCAGAGATCCAAAACTGTGGTTAAAAATCTTTTCAGTAGTATTCAAAGCCCATAGCCACTGAAAAGTCCAGATAACGCTGTCAATAAGGCATCCCAGGGATGGGAAAACCAAATAGTTCTGTTGTCATGGTCTTTTAAACAAGCATCCCAAATGGCAATGTGAACCTTGTTTCCCCAGATGCTCCCTGGAGATTCAAGCTTTTGAGAAAAGGATTTGTTTATAAATCATGTTTTTAATTTGCAACAATAATAAAGTAAAAATGCAAATCTCCTGTGTTTTGCTCACAGCTGCGTTCTCTGTACTGGGCTGTCCGTGTCTGAATACAGAGAAATGAAGAGCTCTACTTCATTTCATTTCATTTTGTTGAATTGTTTATCAGTTATACTGTCGCACTAAAGGCCTCACTTATGGGGTACAGCCTCAAAGCTGCCAGGCACTTCCCATTCAGACACATACAAAATAAAAAAATTAAAATAAAATTCTCATTTTCTCCCCCCCCTTTTTTTTTTCTTTCTTTCTTTTTTTTTTTTTTACATAGAATCTCTATCCTATGCTGGGAAACCCATTCAAACTCTCAACAAAGATGCTTACAATTCAGCCGACTCCACATCTAGCCAAGTCAAACTCCCAGCCTGGGGCACCAGCAGCGCTGGAGAGAATCACACCGAACACTGGCTTCTGTCCTCCGTGAACGTGCAGTGGCCAAAACCTCCCGAAATCCTCTCCCTCTCCTCGGACAAAAAGAAACGAACCAAGCCTTCTCTAGAAAACAATACAGGCCTGAGGAAGCACCTCAGTCAGCATGGAGGGGGCCTTACTCTGGAGAACCCTACGGAGAGGCCCTCTCTTACCTCCTTGGACTTCAACCACGCAAACAGAAAGCATACGGACAGGCGGCTGGCAGAGGCTGCTAACAGCGTGTCGGCTCGTTTCCATCACGCAGCATCTTCCTACCAGAAGATCAGATCTTTAGCAGAGGCACATCCTTTCCCAGACTCTGGAGCAATGGAGTCAGACGACCCTAACACGCTGCATCACTTCAACCGACCGGGCAAAATAAACCCCTATAAGTATACTGATCCCTTAAAGATCACCAAACCCTCCTGGGTCACCAACCGCCAGTCACCCAGCTTGCTCTATCACTTCAGTGTGCTAAGGAAAGGTAAGGGTACAGACTGCTCTGGCAAGGGACATCGGGAGCTTTCAAAGGTTGGGCGGCTTAATTTGGATAAGGAACCCCAAGGGCTCAACACCATCCCTCAGTCCGTGCCCCTATTCTAGATGCTGACAAGGAGGAGGCATGTCTGAGCGAGTGCGGAAAAGAAAGAGATGAAGTGGAGGCCTACTGCATGAGCGAATTTGGTAAGCTGCTCTCCTCTACAAACCACGCAAAGCAGGAGCCCTCTTTGTCCATGTACTACTGACATTTCACTTCTGCTTGTAAGATACTGTTTTATTAAGTATGTTAAAGGGACCCATCACAACTCTTCATACATGTACTAAGACAAAGAGTACCAAGCGTTACATTATCCTTTCCCTACCTTGGTCTCGTCTTGCTCTTTTTCTGTTTCCTCTACTCTCCACTCCTGAGAGGGGGAAGACAATGTTCCAGCTGCTGATTGATAGAACTGGTAAGATGAACTGTTTTAGATGTTTTAAGGTTAAACGTGAACGCGATAGCTGCATTACTTACCTCTTACTATTTAGAATGATTTGGTGATTCTGGGGCTACAATTTCAAATGAAAATCAAGTGGTGGCCCAAACAGGATACTTTCTGTACGAAGGTTACCCAAAGTTCCTTAGTGCTCAATGTCTTTAGTCCTTCTGTAGAAGTTGATGTAACTAAAGATGGTAGAAAATAGCCTGGCATCTTTACGCTGAGTGTTTAAGAGCAAGAATTGTCTGACGGAAGAAATCTTTCCTTACAATTAGGAAGTCATGAAATAGATATCAACTTTTTCTCACAGTGTTTTAAGAGATAAGCAAAATACATGCCTAGTGGTAACAGATGTTTCCATTTGCACAGTATAAACACATTATGAGACATCTGTTTTCTCTAAGTGGAGAAATCAGGAAGTGTTTTCTACAAATCTAATATATTTATTTTTCCTCACTGTCACGTATTCCTGTCAAACCTAGACCTTGTATCACGCTGACCTTTATGTATTTCAACCTTTAACAATTAGCTGTCTTATTCATCTCTTAACCGAAGACGATAGGTACGTTTTCCCTACACGCTCCAGACTAAAAAACCCCACCAATCTGAGCAACAAATCAGCCAAGGTTCTATTGCAGTGATCAAGGACAACGTTTCACTTCTCCACATTTGTGGTGCAGATTAAAGATTAAATGACTGAATCAAAGGAGTTCTCAACTCAGTGAAGCAGGTACAATGCCAGTTTTAGAAGCAAAAATTCTCTTTGCCTTACCCCTGTAACATGACTGTAGCTTTCTGATGCATCTGGTTAACTTCGCACTTGCCAAACCCAGAAATAGGGTGGAGAGCATTAAGTGACTGACAGTAGAACACGGTCTGCTCAGTGCCCTTGCCGCTTCATGGGACAAGTGCCTTTTCTTTCAAAGCTGAAACATTTCACTAGTGGGTTAGCTTCAGACTTCACTATAATGTTTTAATTTTAAAATTTTTACTTTGTCAGGTAAGTATCTCCACTTTTTAATATCGAGTGGAAAGACAGTGCTAAAAACCTTAGTAGTTTTTTTTTTTTTTGAAATATTTTATAAACTTCATTAAAAAAAAATCAGACCTATGAAGTACAATAGTAACTCAGCAAATACTAAGGTGATGACCTCATCAAGTGTGATTATTCGAGGCAGCACCTACTTTCAAGACTGCCCATTACTGGGACAAATAAACTTATGCTTAGATTTGCTTTACAAGATTTTAAATGAGAGCCCTCAAAAGCACCCTGAGTTGCTACCAAGATACATAACCTAACACTTGCTTTTCTTCTGTTGTTTTTGTTCTTTTCTGTTGTTCTTAAAACAGCAGTGAATGGAATTGTTTACAACATGGAAAGACTGGGGAATGGAGTCCATTTGGTCACTCTTTTGGTGAACAGCGATGGATTATACAAGATGAGTCGCCTGTATATTACTCCTGATGGTTTCTTCTTCCGGGTTCACATTCTAGTTGTGGATACTTTAAACTGCAGTAAACCGTGCCCAGACTTTAAGCTTGGTAAACAAACCCAGCTCAATCCATTCCACCGTTCCGCCCGAGTGCAATGCCATTTTTAGTTTGCCCTAGTTTAATAGGCTTATCCTCGGTTCCCATGATTTTGAAAAAATTGCAGGCGAGGTTCCTTTAAATTTGCAGGAGAGACCCAACTGCATGAAGAAGTCAGGCAGCACTGTAGTCCTTTCTTTAGCCAGTTCCAGAATGATTGCAAGAATTTTCATGACTGCTAAAAAAATTTAGGCAGGAGCTTACGCCCATGTCTTTGGAAGTGGTCTAGTTTTCTTTCTGAATGAAAATTTGTTATCAAAGACCAGTATTTCCCCCCAAAAGCTTGCATTTGCAGTACAACACAGTAAACCATTATTTCAGTACAAGTACCATCCAAAAGTCCCACTCAAGTTCAGGGTGCCACTGTACTAAGCCATGTTTTGAGTATATGTTTCTGTAGGGTGTAACTTCATATCCATTCATAAATCTATTGCTGTTAAAGTGGGTGGGCTGTAGCGAATGAATCGATGCTTTCTTCACAGCACAGGACACTTGTTTGTTTTGCAGGCAGTAGATACATTGTGATGGGTCAGATCTACCACAAGAGACGACAGATCCCCGCAACCCTGCTGCAGTTCCTGCGAGGGCGTCTGAGGCCAGGGGATGGATTGCTTAGGAGTAGCAGCAGCTATGTGAAAAGATTCAACAGGAAGAGGAATCGCAAAGTGCAAGGGGCTCACACTAAATGTGGATAAGGCTGCAGTAACCTCCTTTTAGGACGCAGCCAAGGGTAGAATTCAGCCACCAGAATAAACCTGGCCATGGTTTAAAAAAACAGCAAGAGGTAGCGCTACTTAAGCCTGACACTGGTTGTGATAGGCACTTGTTTTTGTGCTTTAGCAAACACTAACTGAAGTTCTGACTAGGTACCTGTATTTTGTGAAACAGAGCATAAAAAGCGTAACGAACGTTAACTGATTATGAATTTTTTCAGAACCACAGGCTACTATTGCCTCCTCTACTATAACGTATTCCTAATCATCTGTAGTAACTATAAAGTGAAATTCTGGAGGCGTTGTTCTAGGTACACAAACAGTAACTGAACTTTCAAAGCCTTAACCTTGAAAAGCGTTAGATAATACCATAGTTTTATCTATAGAGAATGTCAATTGAATTTTTGCACAACTCTGCTTAAAGCACTCTGCATTTCATTCAAAAGAAATTGACAGAACTAAGTGTCATTCCTGTTGTTTTGATTTCCTCAAACACGTCCATAGTTCTGATAAAAAATTACACTATTTTTCAAACGGAGCTGGATTTTCATATAAAGCACACAAAATAGCTATGCAATTATTCAAGTATATGACTTCACTAACTGAAAGCAAATCAAATAACTGCATAACACAAATGCCCAATTAGGCTTACAACTAACTGCATAAATTGATGCTAAGGAATGCAAAACAAGCATGCAACTGCATGGACAATTTGCATGCCTGGTTACATTGTTAGCGTCTCAAAGTGCAGTTCCAGAACTGCGTACTGACTGTAATTTTCCTGTGAGAAATGTTATTAAGTTTGTACTTGCACATCAGTAAAGATACTTTTAAGATACAGTCTTTCACTTTTAGCACCCTTCATGTGTTGGGAATGCAATAAGTCAATTATATGAAACCTCTGCAAGGGGATTTCACTATTTACTGTTCCCAGAGTCAGTATTTTCACAAATCATAGCCTTGAAAATAAACTAATAAAGCATTAATTGCTTTTTGGGTTCATTGTTTCCTGGATTCCAAAAGATCCAGAAAGATAATCTGACTATTAAACAAAGGCACCTACGTGTTTGAAGAGTCAGCTACTATTTTAAGATACAGTTCAGGCAGTTTTGTAGAAAAATAACCGCTTTTTAATATTACTAGTAAGGAAAAACAGTAGCTCAGAGTACATGCAGGGAAACGGTCATAAAGAACAATGACCTTTCGAGCCAGGAGAATCTTCACAGCAATGATACCTTACAACTGTTTTGCATAGCATCACGATGCAAACGTTCTGGGAATAGTCTGAGGAATAGATTGTGGAGGAAGAATTTTTACAAATATAAGGGAAAACTGCAGTGTTAGGATAAAAAAAACCATCTCCCCCGCCCCACTTCCATGGAATGGTATCTATGATATGACCTGGAACAGCAAGCAGTGGCTCCTCTAAGCATTTTGTTTCGACACAAAGGTGGTTCTGATATCAGTTCTATTTCTCATGCAAGTCCGCAGCTTGATTCAGTATCACTGAAAAGCTACAGAGTGGTAGACAAAGAAAAAAATACATATTTTAAGAAATGTTGTCACGTAATGTATTTCTTGATATGGAATAGGAGATAAAATACCAACAGCAAACATTATCACTTCCTGAAATCATACCAATTGTAAAACAGTACTTATTTACACTTTAGGACCCAGAACACTTTTACTACAGGACAGAAATCTACTGGTAGCTTGTGTCTACCAAAAAAAATATAATACTGTCTCACTTCTGCTACGTGAAAGAAGAGTTTGCATAGAGCACAGCATAGATCGATGAATTTTTCCTGAGAAACTTTAATAAGGGGGCTTTTGCTTTGGCAGAATGACTCTTCTCGGCAGCAAATCAAAGCACTGGAGTGGACAAGGAGGGACAAGGGAAGGAAGGAGGGTGGGTTACGTATGTATCTCCAGTTTCTTTGTTTATATTTTCAATTGAAGTTCGGGGACTTACTAAGTCCCACAGTCTTTTTTGTCCAGAACAGCAATTAAACACTTCCCCTTGACATTGCAGTGATGTAGAACAAGCAAACTGAAGGTACAAAAATAACATCCATGGCTATATCTCATTTTGATTGTGCCTCAGAAGAGAGAATAGTATACCAGTGCTAAACACATTGAAAACCCAAGTAAAATGCCAATAACTGACAAATCAATGTCTGCACCACTGTCTCTGACACAGCTACTACTTTAGAAGCAAGCTTGAAGAGCAATATAGTCCATTTTCCCTTTTTGCACTACAAACGATCTTGCTTTCCCCTTTTTTCATGGAAGGTAATTTTTAAAAATATGTTATCACAACAGTTCAACAAGCCACTGTATTTAATATCCCAATTGAAATACAGCTGAAGCAGCAGCTTAACTACTAATTGGTGTTTTTTTTTTTTTTTTTTTTTAAAGCCTTTTGCCAGACCTGTAGCATGTTAATGTACTTGGAAGGGGGGGAGGAACCGACACACACAAACCTAAATCAAGTGGATTTATCTTCCACAGTCTTGTACTGCACTATTAAAAAAACCCACAGTATTGGCCAAATTGAAAAGAAAATAGCATTTGCATGCAAGAGTTGTATCTAAATTACCACGATAAGTGATTTTTTTTCCCAGCAGGACAAGCATAAATATTCTGCAACCAACAAACAGAAATATATGTATATAGAAATACTATCTTGCTGGCTTTCCAGAGGTTTACTCAAGGCTTTTGCGTTAAGTTCACTTTTTAACAACTTTAAATCCCTATTAACTGTTATATGAAGGATACCAAGAAAAATTGCTATGAATTTGTCTGAGGAGACAAACCAAAAGGAATCAAAGCTGGTTTACCTCACAGTATTGAAGTTTTGTTATAATGTACCACTATTTTGAAAAGAACACTGTAATAATTCATACAAACATTAAAGAGAAAAATGACTGAACAAAACAATAGGTCACAGATCTTAAGAACTCATCATGCTTTTTGGAGGTGGGTATTAATTACTTTTACAAGAGCGATATTTTTTCTGTAACACCACTTAAAACTACATAACGCTGCCACTAATAAAGCTAGGAAAATGCCTCAATATACTATACGGCAATTGAAAACACTGAAGAGGCCACTTAGCAAGATGAAGTTGTATGTATGGGTTATTTCCCTACTCAAACTGATTCACAGGCAATTATAGATAATCTGGCAATGCCAAGACCTACATATGTTAATATTACCAAATGTTTCATTAGAAACACCACCAAATCAATGTCAAACACATTACTTTATTTGTCTAAGGATGATGTGTCCTCTAAGGTACAAAAAAGTACTCTTCAGTTTGCCACAATTTGTTAAAAACATAGCAATCTATTGCCTACAGGTAGGAAAGTTTTAAATGTCATCGTATATATATTTTTATATGAATAAATAGTACAGAAATATTGTGAAGTTGTGATGAGATGCAGGATATGTTGAAATGCCGTTAGAAGTTGAGATTTCTCCTTTTTTCATTAAAAAAAATCACAATGCATACAATATGCAGCATTTTTTTAAACTTCAAAGGACAACATAACCTAAACGCAACTACTCATTTAATTTTAAGAAGCATAAATGGATTATCGTTTTCACATCGAACAATTATTTTTTAATTTTCACATATAGGTTAAATGACAACATTCGTATGTACAAAAAAACATGGGTTTTATTAGATAAAATTATCCCAGAAGAACCTGTACACCTGAGCCTGGAAGTGTAAGAAAATGTGGTCAGTAGCAACATCTTTTTAAGAAATTAACAGAAAAGGTTCTTGCATAGCAAGGTGTGAGTTTAAACCCAAAAGGAGCTTATCCATAAATCAGGTAAATCCCAGATCACTGTAAAACAAAAGTTAATTGTGAATTAGTGCAAAAGCTAGTCAAATGGTTGAAGAGCTGTATAAACCATGGCTGATTAACTGTAGACAGTTAACAGGACAGTCATTTATATATGCAATGTGAAAGTGACAGATCAGAAAGAAAAAGCAAAATCATCTGAAAATTGCATCACCTGTTGACTTCAATTTATCCCTCACGCTAGCACTCCTCATACAGGACATAACGAAGCCATCTAGAACGTCTTTCAGAAATTACACTGGGTACTTTACATTCCTGGAGTACTTTGCAAAACATCACCTAATTCAGCAGAGGGCAATGACATTTCACAGAAAACTTGCTACCACATTATCTGTTACAGTAATTTTGGCACTACTGTAGAAATTTTATAAAGGGATAATAGCTGCTTAAGAAAGAAAAGCAGTAAATGCTACCTTTGGAGCAAAATAAAGTCAGATCTCCCTGGCCAGTTCCCTCCCTTATTACTTGAATTATCTATACTTCTGAGCAGATCCCCCAAAGTGTTACAAACATATTAGCGCACACTCAAAGACACCTACGTGTGTGGGGAGAACAATTATCTCCATTTATTTTGTTTCATATACATCCATATTTTGAATTTTAATACAAAAGAAAAAAAATTAGAATCTGACAAATGTTTACAAACAAGATACCTTCAAATAGATTTTACTCATTTCAGTCTGGTGCAGAGTAAATGACAAATTGTACTGTTATATTCAAGGCAACAGAGTCTGTAGTCTGTGACCACTTAGCCCAACTTTTATGCAAGCTTAATTGTTTTTATCTACCATGAATGATAAACTCATTGTTGATTCCCAGTTCTGTGTGTGTGCACATGTGTACATAGCAGCTCCTTTCATAGAAAGAAAAGACATCTAGAAGTCTTCTTGTACTTTTACCTACAGGAATCATGTTAAGATACAGAATGGATTACATGTAACCGGGGCTGGATTTTATAAGAAAAAATAATTAGCTGACAAATGAGGGCAGCAATAAAAAAGCGTCTTTTTTGCAACAATAAATAAATACAGTCAAAGTTTTCTGTGTGGACTTTAAACCAGCTTCTTCACTGAAGAACAGACGTGGCATTTCCATGGAGTTAAACTTGACCCCATTTACTGTATCTTTTTTCTTGCTCTCTCTCTCTCTCTCCTTCACCAAAACAAAGTTTTCCTGCTTCTGCCACAATAGTACAACAATTTGATCTTGACAAGAAAGTGGTGCTGCTGATTTTTATTTCTTTGTCCTTTGGACAAAATAAGCCAAGAATATAATTTGACTGTCGTGACCAATAAAAACGCAGTTTACATCAAGTCTTGTCAGGATAACCTGACTAAAAACATCTGGCTTCTTAATTAAAAATTTTCAGACAACCAGATTCTTGCTCGTGTGTTAGGTTAACACGCTGAACTCTAAGAAGCTGTAGACTGCAGTTTGTTGTTATGGGACCTGCAGAATACAGAAGAAAGTGAAGAATTAAGCACCCTTCATTTTTGAGAACACAGTTGCTGCAAAGTGTTGCCAAGGGTAAATCACTATGAGGGAATTAGTGCCAAGTTGCTTCAACTTGTTTTTTTTTTTTTTTTCCCCCTTCAGAAAAAAGAACACTTAAAATTAAGCATCCCTGAACTTTACGCACATTTTCACCCACAGTATACAAAAATGCCACTACCTGTAAAACGCAGCGTGTCACTGGAGTTTCCAAAAATGCCTGAAATCAGTTTTATTTTCAAGTTTACATAATAGTAGTCCATCAAAAAGAAAGCATAAAGACAATTAATAAGCGTGAATATTTATAATAAGGTGTACTTAGCTTAAATTTCTTCAAGAAGTCTTTGGATTAACTTAATATAAAAAACTGAACAGGCATATTAGAATCACATTTTTGCTAATTAGAGTTCAGAAAAACTCTTCTTTGACATTCACAGTTTTATTAGTGACTGAAAATAAAACAATAAAATACATGGTTTCCAAGATTAACTTTTCATTTTTTTTCATACAGTATTCCAGGAATAGGACAATTTTGTTAATACATTTATATTTACCAGCATAACTGCTGATAACAAAAAAAAAAAAAAAAAAAAAACCACCCAACATTTACTGCTCAGACAAGTGATCTGGATTTTAGGGCAGTTTAATGTCATCAAATTGTACAATAAAAGAAAGTGACCCCAACATCCAGTTCTGATTCCAGTTAAAAAGTTCAGACTAAAGATATCACAATCTGCAAGAAAAGAAAGAACATGGATGGTATAAATGAAAAACAATAACAAATAAGATGCAGCAATGAAATCAGTGTGCAAGCACTGAATGCTGGATAACCAGCTAAAGCAAGATGACAAACATGAAAGCTACCTGAAACGTCACTTCTATAGTAGTGAATTAGAAAGAAAAATACTGGATTAATTCATTTGGTCTCATCAATTCTTGTCCATCCTATTCTCATTGCGCATAGAATAGCAGACAGCTTCCACAATTATGGATATAAAGTAAAGCCATCCGTTTAGTTAATTACAAATGAATTTAATCCTGCATTAATCTAGGCTAGCAGTCTGTTAGTTTTGACCATTACAGTCAAACGGACAACTGTCCATATACAACTGTGGTACAGACACAGATCTGAGTAATGTTGAAAGGCATGCCAATTTTTGTAATTCAGTTACCGTTGGCTTATATTAAAATTTAGCGGTAATATAGGAGCAATCTGTATACTCCACTAGAATTTTGCGTAAGCTAGTTTTAGGAACAGCTGTACTTAAATACCACACTGTAATTTGACTACAGCAGTACAACTCCCATGTACATACTACTAGACAGAAACAGAAAGCAGGAGCTTGAAATCTGTAGTAACAGTTGCATGCTCTTTTTCAGGAACGTGCATTTTAGGGAAATACTCTACATCAATCTTTCTACAGAAAAACAGCATTAAAAGAGGAAAAATTAATTTTAAATAGTTAATTACGAATTGTGTTTAGCTTTCCACGTCTTACTTGAAAGCCTACTTACTCCCACCCTTTCAAATGCAGTGAGTTACGAAAGGGTAAGCTTCGTATCTGTGAGAAGGTAGTGACAACTAAAAAGTATTTTGTTTTTTGTTACTGGGTTATAAGCTTCATAGAAGGATTGCCTCCTTTTAGTATCGAAAGGATTTTGTGTACAATAGAAATTATCAAAAGTGAGAACAACACAGCATTGTCTTGATCAGAAATAATTGTTATTTTGTTTAGCTTTTCTGCAGCAATGACTTAAAACGTCACTCAACTTTTCTTCAGTTATGATACCGTCCAATTCCATACCCAACAACTTAATTGTGAACAAATATTACAAAATAACCTCAACAAAATCCTATTTAATCCTTATATTTGACTGAAACTAAAGGCTGGATATTTTAAAAAAAGATTTTTTTTTTTTTT